ATTTATAAATGTACCAGAGTACTGCGCAATATGTATCTTATAATTAATTTAACAATACTAAGTTAAGAATAAGTTTAAAAATTACCAGTAGCCCCATCTGCTGGTCATACAAAAATTATACCGAAAAATTAATAATTATCTACATAATTTGTATGGTTAAAAATAAATCCATGAACTGCTAATTAAAAGTAACGCTCCCCAAAGTCACCCTTTTCCACGTACGCATGCGCGTGTGATGTATTGTGGAAAGGAGGGGGAAGAAAAGGAATAAATAAGTAAAAATCCTATGAAATAAGTAAATCCTTCGCAAATACTGTCAAGTTCAGTTTACCGTATTCCAAAGCCTTCGGAATAATTTTTTGGATAGCAGTTCACGGAAAAGATCGTACCTTAGGAAGACGTATATATACGTACCAGGCAATTATCGTTTTGGTTGAACGAGACGTTAATATACATCGATGGCAATTAAGAGGTTGAATTCACGTTGTAGCTTTAGAGTCAAAGTATAGTGTTATTGAGTTCAATATATTGTTATTGTATGGAAGGGAAGCGCTGTGAAAATTATGATTGAATATTGGGTCGCAAATAATGAAAGATTGAAAAGCACTGGTGTAGCTGAATAGTGCGTCGTTAATATTTACTCCCTCGCTGTAATAAGTGCTTATTTATTAATATGTATCATTATCACAATTGCCAGTGCGCCTTTAGGTGGCGCTTGTATGGTTTCGCTACGGCAAAGGAACGGGTACACCTTCGCGTGGGGATCCCTGCCAATGTTGTTTTTTTTCTATTTATTTAGCTGCAAAGAATATAGAACTGTAAATAATTTAATAGCTAGAAGAATGCCAATTTATGAACAGGAAATGCTATCTATGAGCCCAGAAGTAAATTTTTGTGGTTATTGACTGACTTCTGATTACACACTCACAATAGCTATATGTTTTTATAAAATCATTACTTGAAAGAAATAATATTTATGAATACAATGATTTTGATTAAGTTAAGAATAACTTTTTTTATTAATAAAGAAACAAACGAATGAATAAATTTTTCTTTTTATGAAAACTTAATGTCCCAAATAATGAAAAATCTCGATCTTGGCTTCTTGTAAACAAAATATCTTACCCAGAAAAATAATCCTATTACACTGATATCAATATATTTATATATTGAATATATTGATATTATTTTCCACAGTTATATATATATGAGTTTCTAATTTCTGTTTAAGGTTGCTAAGAAATACCACCAATTTTCTTGTTTATAGTTGTACCATTTTCACAGTGATACAGTTAGTTAAATCATTTAGGAATGCAGGAAACTAAAATGACATCCGATTTTTCAAAGAAGGTAATGGGGTAATTACAATAAAAATAGTTAAGTTTAAGGATAAAAAAATTACTCTGCTTCTGCTTGAAATTATTTATTTTATAAAATACTCCTAAATAAGCTTTCTTTGATTCTGATTAATAAGGTCGCCATTCCTGTAAATTGTTTATTTTTGAATTTTAAAAGGTAGGCGAGCAAACTATTATTAACTGGAACGCAGTATGTGGACGAGCATTATCCTGTTGATAAATATATATAGCACAATCGGCGTTATATATATATATATATATATATATATATATATATATATATATATCATTAATAGTAAAGAGCTATATATTAAATAATTTTAGAAATTCTTTCAGCTCTAGATATTTATGTTACTTGCGTTGTAAGCCCTTACGTGAAATTTAATGGTAAAATTATGTACATATAATGTGCCATTTCAAATTATCTCAACAGTTTATTAGAATAATTTTATTCAATATTTTGATTTTATTCATTTAATTGAAAAAAAGACCTTACAGTTCCTTAATGAAAATAAAAAAAAAGACTTTGGTAAATCTAAACTAATATAATTAAATTCATATTTAAAACTATCCTTAGTGAATTTCAAAAAATAGATAAGAAAAAGAGCTTCAACATTTTCATATCAATGACTGCTCCTTAGTCTAAGTTTCCATGTAGTAAATATTAATCAGAGGATGATTTAATTAAAGTTCATTATTCGCTTTTATTTTTTACACATACAAAAAAGACATAATGACAGAACTTCTGTTTATTAAATAAAATAAATTCGATTCTTAGGTACTAAAGTAAAATTAGAAAATTTACTTATTGCTTTTACAATTCTTATTTCATTAACTAAACAAAATATTTAAATTCTTCTTTGACAGTAGAACTTTCATTAAGATAATTACTTAAAATAGATTACCTTTATTATTCTTAACTCCTAATTGGAGAAATATATAATTTTTTATAATTTAGTTAAAATGATAAGAATTCTGGTAGATCAAACGGTCAAATAACCGGGGTTTTTTTCAATCTTTTTTTTAATATCTTTATTTATTAAGCTATGTTTTTCTGGATTAATATTATACATTTTTTAACATTTTAGAAGATATAATTAAATCATTAGAGTGATTTCTATGCATAAATTGTTTTCTCTTTCTCTATTTCTCTCTATATATAAGATTTCAAACTATTAAATTACATTTACATTATATCAAATGGTACTATTTAACTAGATTATTAAAATAATAAGAAATTTTCTTCTTCAATGCTTTATTTCAGTTTGAGATAGATTCAATTGAGGTAGCTCCGTTTAATTCGTAATAGATGATGTTTGTGCCGAAATATGGGATAAAAAAAATTCCGTTTTTTCCTCTAAATACAATGAATACAACAACAAAGATCATTGCAAGTAAATTTTATCAGGTTTTTGTCATGCCCAGAGATTTCACCCAATGAGTATGTACAGAGCATGATTGATTCATCATTTGGAAGAATTCAATACGCGTAAAAAGTTTTACAATACGTCTTGAAATAAACATTCCTTATTATCTCTTTCTTAGAACGCGTATTTTTCCTTTTTAATCAAATAATTTGTGTTATTGTAGTTTAAATGTGGTGCAGCATGTTTTGGACAACATTTAAAAAACTCAGTGAAACAATACGTAATTCCTTATTCACAAAACATTTTGCAACGCATTCATCAACATTTATCAAATTTACTGTGATTTCACTTTTTATGAATGTACCGAATAAAGAGAAGAAAAAAAAACATAGTTAATTTTCTAAACACAGAGTTGAATTTATTGATGGTGGATAATAATAAATAAAAGTGTAACAATATTAAAACTGGAATTCAAGTGTAGAAGATTATCAACTGTTAGCATAGAAAAACTACAAAATAATGACTTAAAGAAGCTGTTTTCTTTTTCTACGTTCAGTAAATGAAAAACTTATGAGGAACTATAAACTTTGATTTGGGATTCTGGGTTTCACGATTTCTTGAACATAATGAGAAAATATATAGGATAATTTGCTCTATTCGGTCCTACCTCGTAAAATAGCTAGGAAAACAAGTAGGCTTCGAAAAAAAACATGAAACACACTTAAGGATAAAAGGAGAATCTCTATCACTCAAGTAATTTACCAAACATTTAATATACTAGTTCTTAAAGGTTAAATAATAAATAAAATGTATTGTGCAATGTTTTTAGTGATAGTAGTAATTTATTTTCCCGATTTTGTTTCTTCAGTTGGAAGGAACACTGACGATTAAATTATTTCAGCAATAAAAGTCTAAGCATTATTTTTAAGTGTTTTATTGACTGAATGCAAAAGGTGTTTCTTTTTTAAGAAAAAGGTTTTATGAAAATTAAATGCATAAAATTTAGTTATTGAAAATAAAGTAATAATCTGATGTTCAGAATATGTTAACTTCACATAATTTCCAATTAGTAATTTTGTCAAATCTCCATCGGAGAGTTGTTTGAAATATTATGAGGCTGATCAGCATTGTGCATACAAATATATAATTTGCGAGTAATTTTAATAAAGAATTAATGCAAAAAAACCATAAAATTTTAAGAGAATATGCATTTTATAAAATACCTCCAAAGTCTTTGTAACTAATTCGAGGATTTTATATCTGAACCCGAGATGGAAAGAGGTGTAGAAGCTATAACTAATTACAGAGACAAATATATCTAATAAAAAACACTTTATTTATCAAGCAATCTAATTTCATCATAGTCTATTAATCAATTATTACAAATAGTAAGAAAAATTAAAAATCTACAAATCTCATTTAACCTTAAGGGATTGCTAGGGCTTGCTACAATCCCCATAAACATTAATTTGATCTTTTGAGCAAATTGAAAAAAATCCTTCTTCAAAATAACTAACAGGAAATAATATGACTGACAATAATATTACTATTATTATCATTCTCCATTTCAAATTATTTTCTGTAGTACTACAATTCTGCAAATCATGTTTGCTCTTCAAGTAGTTTGCAGCTTAAAAATTTTAATAACGTTAAAAAAAACCAAGTTTTTGAAGTTATACTTCTTTTGGGTGGTTGGAGAAATGGGATGAGGGTAAATTTTTACGATCCGTGTGCACACCCTCACGGATGTGACGCCACACCGTCACAATTGTGAAAACTCTTTGTCTCTCTCTTCTCTCTCTAGAAATATTCATAATGGTACAAATCATTCCCGCATTCGAAATTCACAGGAAAATATTTCTCTTCACTTCCCTGAAGAAGGGGACACTCGAGTTTGAACCGGAGACGTCTGGATCTGCAGTCGAATGCCTTGCCACTGAGCTATACACCCGCGTTAGTGAAACTTTGCTTTGCGTTCCGCAGGAACGGATACGAAAATGCTTTGTCTAGAAATATACAGAACGGGACAGATCATTCCCGCCTTCAAAATCTTGAAAAAATATTTCTCTTCACTTCCCTGAAAAAGAAGAGACACCCGGGTTCTTACCGAGGACCTCTCGATCTGCAAATACTCTACCACTGAGCTATACCCCAGCGTCAGCGAATCTTTCCTTTGCGTTCATTAGGTATGCTTTGTCTTGGAATTTTCAGAACGGGACAGATTTTTGCCGCCTTCGAAATCCTCAAAAAACATTTCTCTTCACTTCCCTGAAGGAAAGGGCACCCGAGTTTGAACCGTGTGTTTCTCGATCTGCAGTCGAATGCTCTACCAGTGAGCTATACCCCCCATGTTTGTGAAACTTTGTTTTGCACTGATTTGTGAGTCACTACTAGTAGGGAATGATCGTCCTTTGCCTACGTAGCTTTTCTGGTGCATTTCTTTGAACACTTTTTGTTATTAAACTAAACATACTTACAGGAATTTTTTTAAAAAAATAATATAAATTAATCTTTAATTTGTGTTTCATGTACATAAAACATAAGAGTAAATATTAGTTTATCTATTTAAATAGCAATTGCAAGTACATGATTATAGATGTATTTACTACGAATGCATTGCGATGAACATAAACACATTTATTGCATTGCAGCAAATTATAAGAGCCTTCTGAATTAGTATATTTATTTTTGAAATTATACTTCTTTTGCGGCGTTAGGGAAAAATGATGAGGGTAAATTTTTACGATGCGCACGCGCACACCATTGTGTAATATTTTTACATTCCACTTTTTTGGTGCTATGGGACTGATATTTGGGGGATCATAATAACTATTGTTATAAACCATATCTGCTGTGTCGTATTCCCCCCCCACGCTACGGCTTTTTGGCGAATATCTGGTGCCTCACAGTCCATTCGGACCTGGCTCATTCAATCCCTCTCTATTTGCACTTCCAGTTATTATAATTTCATGTGTGTGTGCTCATTGGGCTATTTTTCCATAGCTTTTTAATTGTCTTAAGCTTTTTAATTTGTTTATATTCACAATATCTTGGCTCTTGTTCGAGTTTCGGACATGAGATTTGAACCAAATGTTCTACTCGTCGAGAACCATCCAGTCATCTGCTTCATTCCCATTGTGTAAGCATGGGAAGGGCTTAAGCACTATAATATGCTCCCATGTTAATCCTATGGGGACTGGAAAAAATTTCACCCCCCTCCTCCAGGAATTAAGCTTGGAACTTGATTTTTGGAGGTCCACCATATTTTCGTTTAGCGCGAGATTTACGTGGAATTTGCCGCCTTTCCCTACAGGGCTTTCCCAGAAATAACTCGAATACTATGCCTCCTTAGTCGACCGCACATGCAGGATGCGATTGTTCTTCCTATGAGCATCCTAGATATATTTTTTTCAGGACCACATAGCCCTATTTCTTTACCTCTATATTTAACATTTTAAAATTATTTTAGTTACAATTTTTTTTAACTCCCGCATAGCTCCGAGGATTTTTGAGATTCATTAATGAAACCCCGACCTTAGGTACTCCTCGTTGAGCTGTTTCATCTGTTATAATTCGTGTGTAGATAGTGGACTTATTATTATCATTAAAATTAGATTATTGTTATCATTAAAATTAGAATCCCCATGTTATTCCTATGGGGTTCGATCTTTCAATGAGGGAACGTTATTACAGAGATAGAAGGATGAAACTTTGGGATCACGTACTACTCTGTGAATCGTTTGGATGAATGTGACCATTTACGTCACAGTTGTCCCTTTCTCCTCGGGGGAGCTATTTTCGTTTTCCTTTCCCGAGGCAGCGCCGCCCCATTTTCCACTACAGACTTCGGACGGGTTCGAGTGGATTCCTCGTGTGTTTCCCACCAACCAGGCGGAGTTTCGAGTTGCTGGGTGCCCTGTTTCTATTTTATTTAATTGTTTTAATGATTTTAAATTGACCATAACTTGGGGGCTCTTCAGGTGGATATCTTAATTTTCTCAGGAACGATTTTTCGCGCCGAAACATTCAAACAGAGGTCTGAGGTGTCACATTCGGTTCACTTCATCTCCAGATACAGTCTGATACCCCATGTTATTGGTCCTATTGTCCGCGTGCGGGGGTGTTTAAATTTGTTTAAATCGTGATTATCTCAGGTTTAGTGGTCCGATTGACTGAAGGTTAGTATCGTTCAACTCTGCTCGTGACTGCCTTTCGTCCTTGGCTCAGCTTGCCCTGCTAAAGATTTTTAGAAAGATTTTATTCTTGTTACGCCAAAGAAGTATAACTTCTTACGTGCGTACATAAGTACACTAACACTTTTTTTTAAAGAAGGAAACCTTACGAGAGATAGCTTTAAACATCCAGCATTTTACTTATTTAAATTCCATATGTTAAATTAACAACACTAGTAATCGCTTGCATTAAGTCATTATTCAAAAGAAATACCATTTTCCATAAAAAATGAACCAAAATTCTAATTCTATATGATTACTTCTTTCTGAGATTGCTTTGTTTCAAGACCCAGTTAAGTTATTCAGTTAAAAAATGATAATCATTAAAAGATTATTAAGTATTGTTAAAATGATATCAAAATTATAATACATTTTTCAAAGGTTAAGGATAATTTGAAAATTTAAGGTAGAACGATGTAACTTATATTACACTTTTTATTCACAAAATTAAAGGAAATTTGAAATACAGCAGATATTTATCTTTAAAAATTAATATTCTTCATTTTTCTTTATCTGAGGCCTTAAGTTTAGCACCAAAAACTAAGAAAATAGCAAGTCTATCTTCTTTTAGCGGTAAGATGATAAAAATAAAGAATTGTTAAAAAATGAATGTAATAAAGTCGTGTAAAAAGAAATTGAAACAAAGAAAACTTTAAACTTGTTCAAATGACGAGGTTGGCAGCTTAGCTAGAACCACACTTTAGCAAAAGAAGTGTCATCTGAATACAAGTGAGGTTTTTGGCACATACGTCAAAGATTTTAAGCTACAACATGTATAACTGTTCTATACAAAGTTCTACAAAGAATGGTTTTAGTCTCTGAAAGGAGGACTATATTATTTAACACTCACTTAATTTGAATAGAACACTGTGTGAAAATAAATTTTTCATGAGTACAATAGTTAAAATTTATTTGATTATTGCTCTGAAGCAGAAATTAGTTGTAACATAAAACTGAAACAAAAAATAACCTGACCAATGGGGATTACAGTCTTTGTTGCTCTGCATCTAATGTTACCATCCATCAATCAATTGGCAAATTTATTGATCATCATAAGACTAGGCCTAAAATGATTTTTTTTTTTTTGATACTCGTATATTTTCCAAGCATCAAGTTTTTTATAAAGCACCTTACCAAACAAGGAAACGTGTAAAATTAATTGGGTAAGAAAATTATGTTTTGTGATAAAATGGTTGAAAGTAGTATACATAACAGGAATTGAGAAATTTCTCGCGTAAGGAACTAGGGTTACAGTTGACAATAACTAAATTAAAAATAATACTTATTCACTAATTTATTTAGGTGATAAATTCATTGATCTAGATTATAACTTTATCATGAAATGATTGTTGTACTAAAGGGTTTATAATTCAGTCAGTAGTGCACACAGGAATTTTTCAAGGGGGGTCCAGGGTCGAAAGTTCACTATTTTTGTATCATGCTCCTTTTGATTTTGTCGATTTTCGGGAACAAAACAGTAAAAAACTAATTATTGAATAAATAATTAGCATTAATTAATAAAATTAAGCATTAATAACAAATACTTGATTAAATGATACGTACTATGTACTTAGAATTATAATCATTCGGAAAAAGGGTTGTCCGGACCCCCAGGACCCCTCCTTGTGTGCGCCACTGAATTCAGTAAATTCATAGAATACGTACATATTTTATATGAAAAGAATTAACTCAAATCAGTTAAAAGAATAATAATTTCATACTTCACCTAATTATTCTACGAAATAATCAACTATTCAATACATTAAATAATCATATAACGTTGGAGTGAATATAATTAATTTGACATTAAATCAAGTTCATTTTTTATAAAATAATAGAGAATAAACACTTTGAAAGTTTCTCTTAAAGTACCTTTCATATATTAAGGATAAATTACATGTTATGAATATTAAAGAAAAATATAGAGCATATAATATAATAGTTTGCTATTAGTTAACAGTAATAAAAACAACAAAATATATTGCAGTAATTATTGTATTTAAATTCTTACATCTTATAATTATTAGTCTCTTGGAAGATTAGTCCCTAGAAGCCGTCTTTAACACTTTAACGATTAGGTAATTCTTATTCTTTAAAATAACTAGTTTATAAGATTTGGATGAATTTGTTTATTTTAGCTCAGTGGTCCCCAAAACCAGAGCCGCGGATGGTTACCAGGCAATACATCAAATGTTACCGGGGCAGCCAAGAAATATTAAATTACTTTCATTTTATTTACTGTGGTGGGTTTGTGTCTGACATTCCATGTAAATATCTTTATATTCCATGTCAAAGTACTTTATATATTCATTTTTTGGTATAACTGTATTTTATTCTGAAGGCATGTTTAAATATAATTAAACTAAAATTATTAAATCAAAACAATCTAAAATATAAACAATCAATGTGACATACTCAGCTGGCAGGGGTAAAATTTACAAATGTTGACCGGTATACTGCGATAAAAAGTTTGGAGCGCACTGCTTTAGCTGACTTGGTTAGGGAATTTTTAGGCAATATCTAGTTATTATATCAAACAATAGATTTCGCATTTAAATTGTAACATATAATTACATGAAAATTAAATAGTGTATTGTTCATAAAATTATTTTTTCACTAGTCTCATTTAAGAATAAAACAAAGCTTAAACTTTTGAAAATACACATGATAATGATGATAAGTTAAAAATAATTTCATTATCATTAGAATTATTTCACAATAATCGTCAGTATATCATAATGTATTTCTAATCTTAAAATAATCAAAAATGAGTTAGATATTTTTAATTCTTTGTAATAAACATAAAAATCATTCTGAAAAACACACACATATAATCTCCAGAATTGTTCTAACTTTCTATTATTAATGAGATCAACAAAAATAAGAATAACGATAATATTTGAAATACATTCCATAATTCAATTGTACTCCGATCTTATTAATAATAAACGTATTTTAACTTATCTGCAGGCAGAATAAAGAACATTGAGCAAAATAATATCAACTTTTAAAATTTCTATGGATAATGTGTTTAAAAAGTAATGCTCGACGAAGATGAAAATACACACAGAATACAATAAAAAATCATATACAGGGTGGGCAAAAAGTCCGTAAA